GCGGGCGGGGTGGCGGGGGCCCGGAGGCCTGCTGCTGCTCCTCCTAGCAGCAGCAGCATTGGGCTCCCGAGGTGGCGGCGGCGGCGGCGGCGGCGGCGGTGGCGGCGGTGGCTCAGGGGCAGCGGGGGGCTCGGACTTCGGCTGCAGCACCGCGGCGCCGCGCTCGGAGAGCGGCTTCCTGCCCTACTCGGCTGCAGTGCTTAGCAAGACGGCCGTCAGCCCGCCGGACCAGAGGGACGAGGCGCCGCTCACCAGATAACTACGCCGCCGCCAGGGGCCGCGCCTGCGTTTGCTCGTGTGCCCGGGAGTCACCTTGCGCCCCCGGCGCCCTCCAGGCGCTGCCCACCGCTACCGCTGCCGCTAGGGGGCGGCCCGGGCGCCAGAGGTGGCAAAAAACCTGCCGCCAATGTTGGGGACGGAGCCCGCCCGCAAGCCTGGCGGCGTTCCCCCAAATTATTTCTATTTTTGTATTTTCCGCCTAGCCGTCACCCCCTTTGCCCTCGTCTAGATGTGTCCCGCTTTGCAGGCCTCACTTCCCGCCTCGGTCCCGAGGTCTTTGGTCCTCTACCCTGACACCAGTCCTTCGGGAGCCGAGCCGGGGAGGAGCGTCCCCGGGCCGTCGTTCGGTGCACTAAGTGGCTAGGAGCAGTGGGGAACCGCGACAAGGAGAGGGCCTGGTGTGCGCTAGTGCTTGGGCGAGGGAGTGTCACCCCCGAGATGGATGCTGCTGCTCTTTTCTTCTAGCCTTCCTTTCTTTTCTTTAAATGATGGAAGGAGGAGGCAGGTTTTCTGTTTCAGATTGCTAGGGGCCTTTGTCCAAGGGGAGCAGGAGAAGGGAGTGTGAGAAGGCCGGAAAGGCAGCCGGAAAGAGTGTGGGGACCTGTGGGGTGTGCCCCTGACAGCCTTCACTGTGCCAGACTGGGTAGGGCTATAGAAGCTTTTCCTGGGAAGGACAAAGCCAAGGGGGAAAGAAGGGTGATCACGCCTCCTCTGGTTTCCACCGTGGTTCTTGCTAGGTCTTTGATTTCAGTGCGGAAAAACGGAAGTTGGTTTATTTGGTTTTTTTTTTTTTTTTTTTTTTTTTTGCGTGTTTTATGCAAGATGTAATGGGCAACGAGGTTGCCACAGCAAGGCCAGGGAAGGAAGGGAAACTGAGAGATGGTGAGGGCCAGACTGACAGATCCCTGTAGTATGTGGAGAGACATTTTCATCTCAGTTTTCCAACTGCGGAGTTCCACTCGATCTGGGAAATACTTGAATCTCTAGATATAGGATATTATCCTAAAAATGTCCTCAGACACTTTTCTAAGTTCGAACTCCATATTCCTCTCGACCCCTTTCCTCCTTGCTTTCCTTTTCCTCGGGTAAAATGGTTCTTGGCATATTTCTCACGCATGTCTCTTGCACCTTCTCCTCTGCAAAGCCATTGCTGGGTTGCTGAGACCTGCTCTGCCAACCCCGGCTACAGGAGGGGTTTCCTTGAACTAGAAGAAAGGTACATCAAAACCCACCAGTGTCAACTGCCACGTCAATTTTGATGCTAATAATGTGCAGATTATGACGAAAATTGCCAATCATGCTCTCTGATGGACCTCCTTTGAATGTGGAATTGGAGAAAAGTTCCCCGCACGGAGACCTGCTGTCAAGTACTAACAACCCGCTAAGGGAAGTCATTAGGAGAGACGGATAAGAGACTCGGTACATAAAACATTGTTCTTGGTGCATAGAATGTATGTTATTTAATGTTATCTCTGTTACCTGAAGTGCTTTCGCAGAAGAAAGCCACGTTCTTATCATCTCAATTGCCAATTTTCATTTTGGTAACTTGGACGCCCTGGGTAGACTTTTCTCTGTTAAGTTGATATTCCACCAATGTGAACAGCCTCATTAAATCAAGCTCAGATATTTCCATAATGCTCCCCGCAGAGCCACTTCGCTCCTCACATAATGAGATTTTCTGAAGAGTTGAAGCCCTAAAATAACTTGCTAGTGCATGTTTAGGCCCAGGAAAGTGGGTATATGTGTGTGTATTAAAATGTAGGTATGCAACCTACTCGTGTATGTTTGTATATATGTATATGTATGTATATGCATATATATTTGCGCTTTTAAATACATATATGAGGTACACACATATACATATATACACATTGGCACTATTTTCTGTGACTTATTTCAAATTAGTTTCCTGGCATATTTTGTTAACTTAAAGACACTGGATTTTTAAATTTCAATTCCTGAAGAATGGATTTTCACCATATGTTGAAATAATTCATTTTCCATGAGAAAGTATTATTTTTTATCAAATGAAAACTATTTCAAGGGGAAGCAGTATTTCAAAACTCCTGTGATCTATTAAGATATTTCAGTAAAATATGAGACCTTCCCAAGGAAATAGCAATGTTCTAAAGCTCAACTTTCCTTTTTTTATGAGATGAGACTACTTATGTAAAATATTGATTATGCCAGCTCTTATTTGCTGAGTTTACATTTTAAAATATTAATATATAATTTAAGACTAAATAAACCAAAATATGGTACCCTTTTATCAGCTTTACCTTTCTAGATTGTGAAAGTTCTTTGTTATGATCAGCTTTCAGTGTATATAAGGTACTTTAGGCAATAATGTTTACATTTCCCCCCAAAATATATATATGATTGATGAGAACGCTGGTTGGTAAAATGAACATAAATTCATCTTATGTTAGGTCCATTGGATCTGGCTATTATAACAAAATAAAACTGTAAATAAAGTCTTT